TCGCGCCATTGGTTAGAGTTACTATGGGAGGCGGGTCCGCGATGAGTGGCGGGCAGCGGCGGGCGGCGCGTGGCGGCGGCGGTTGGTTGAGCGCAGGTAAGAGCGGCGGGGCCCGGGCCCCTCCCCCTCCGCCGGCGGTTCCGCGGCCGTTGGGCCTGGTGCCGCGCTGGGAGCCATGTCGGAGTGGGTGTCCTACTACCGGAGCGAGGGGCCGGAGGAGGAGGAGGACGAGCAGCAGGAGGAGGGGGCTGAGGCGGTCGGTAAGGACCTTCCCCCTCCCCCCCGGGGAACCTTGGGGGTCAGCGGGCAGAGGGGGCGGCTGCTGCTAAAACCGTTTCGCCCCCCTTTCCGTAGCGGACTACAGGTTCTCGGGTCGGGACAGCCTCATTTTCTTAGTCGATGCCTCCAAGGCCATGTTTGAGCCCGACGGGGACGGAGTGACTCCCTTCGACATGACCATCCAGGTAAGGCTGCCGAGGGAGCCTCGGGGGGCTTCACAAACCCTCCAGGGATCGCCTTCGGCACCGCCGCGGGTACGGCTACCGGCTTGTCGCTCTGCCGCAGCTGTTGGTGTAAGGTCACTACCGCTGAATGGCTGTGGGTTTGGAAAGATCTATTGCCTGGTGAGCCGTGTCCAGAGTTCGGTGAGGGAAATGTTTATAGAATGAGCGATCAATCTGCGTTCAGGGCGATGTATTCAAGAGACGTTTATTTCATTGATCTTGCTTGTAGAAGGGGAATGGTAATGAAAAATACATAAGGCTGTGTGCTAAAAAAAGCCTTTCGAAAAACAAAATCCCAGATTCTTTCTGCTGTTGAAATTTGCCTTAAAGCATTTGTTACAGTTCTTCTGTTTGCTAGAGTCTACGTGTATAAACTGCTAATTGCCAAAGGTAAAACTTTTGTGTCATTGCTGCAACTGATGTTCTTCGTATTTTGACCTGTGTGTGTTTTTTTCAGTGCATCCGGAATGTGTATACCAGCAAAATTATTAGTAGTGACAGGGACCTGTTAAGTGTCGTGTTCTATGGTACGGAAAAGAACAAGAACTCAGCAGATTTCAAGCATGTCTATGTTCTTCAGGAGCTGGACAATCCAGGTAAAGGCAGTAAAGTGATATGAAGGTTATGTAGACAGGTAGAGTAAGGAAATCTGTGTAGTAGCATTGTCAATAACTGGTCTCCCTGAAAACAGAGAGCTATCAGATAAACAAAAAAAATTCCTGTTACTGAGGTGCTGTTGTGGTTTAACCCCAGCCAGCAACTAAGCACCACACAGCCGCTCGCTCACTCCCCCCCGGTGGGATGGGGGAGAGAATCAGAAGAGTAAAAGTGAGAAAACTCATGGGTTGAGATAAAGACAGTTTAATGAGTAAAGCAAAAGCCACGCGCACAAGCAAAGCAAAGCGAGGAATTCATTCGCTACTTCCCATCGGCAGGCAGGTGTTCAGCCATCCTCAGGAAAGCAGGGCTCCATCACGCGTAACGGTTACTTGGGAAGACAGACGCCATCACGTCCAATGTCCTCCCCTTTCCCCCAGTTTATATACTGAACATGATGTCATATGATATGGAATAGCCCTTTGGCCAGTCTGGGTCAGCTGCCCTGGCTGTGGTCCCTCCCAGCTTCTTATGCACCTGGCAGAGCATGGGAAGCTAAGAAGTCCTCGACTAGTGTAAGCACTACTTAACAACAACTAGAACATCAGTGTGTTATTGACATTATTCTCATCCTAAATCCAAAACACAGCACTCTACCAGCTACTAAGAAGAAAACTAACTCTATCCCAGCTGAAACCAGGACAGGTGCATTGGGGTTGGGGATAGATTTAGAAATGTATTGAAAGCTTAGAAACTTAGTGGGAGCTTAGCTTTTTCTGTTATAGTTGGTGCAGATCCCTTTCCTATGTCTTTTCTTCTATTTTAATGTGGTCGTTCGCTTGCTGTCTGCTAAACCTAAGAGGATCTCAACAGAACTCTCGAAAGCCCATCATGTGTCTGTCGCACTTCAGAAGAGTGCGTGTGCACGCTAAGGCACCATGGATTCCAGCTGGTGGAGAATATCCCAGAATGGCTGAGGTTGGATGGGGTTTCTGGAGGTCACCTTGTCCAACTCTCCTGCTCAAGCAGGGTCAGCTAAAACAGGTTGTCCAACATGTTAACCTGTTTGGGGTGTTCCATCTCTTATTTTCGTAATAAGTTTTGCAATTCTTGAGTTTAGCTCTTCCATTTCCTTAGAATTTCTTAGAATTAGCTAGCATCTGCTTGATAACGAGTGCCAGTTGCTGAATTGGAAAAGGTAGGAGGAGGAGTGCAAAGAATGCATGCTAGTGGTGACAAATTCTCTGACAGCGGAGAGTCTTGTGGGGGGATTTTGTCTACTAGCTTTTAATAGCAGCCTTTATCTCTGAGGAGGTTTGATTTCATTTTCTTAACCAGGAGGTGCAAGTTTAATAACACATGGGGTTCTCCTGAAAGAACTGTGCCTTGTCCTAGTTTCAGAATTAATTACAACGGGGACCCGACAAGACTACCCTAGGTTCTTCTCCCTTTTCTGGCAGCAAGCGTCTGAAGCTTCTCGCTCATCCTTTTTCCTCCTCCTTCCCTGCTTGCCCTTTTCCCTGTGTTAGAGGCAGGAGCTTCGCTGCGCTGATAAAGACAGTACAGGTGAAAGGTGGGCGTTGTTAAAAAGGAAGAGGATTGTATATTTGCTGCCCCTGGAGAGCAGCGTGTTCTGGAGAAGGAAGAAGTACTATGGTTAGTTATCATGCAGTACATAATTATGAACACGTATGAGGAGGTGAAAGTAAAATAGTAAATAGGGGGGAAAAGACATTTTCAGATGAGATTTCAGAAGTGCTATAGAATTTGAGTGAAGGACAAAGGAAGAAGCTCTGCAGAATGCAGTAGCTGAAAAATGAAAGCTTGTCTCCCTTGGTAGAGTTATGGGAGAAGACAGATAACCTGCTATTAGACAGGTGGGAAAAGGAGTCATAGTTGGCCTGGAGTAATCTGCAGAGCTTTAAAAAGGTCATCGATACCTGCCCTGAATGTTGCTGTGCTCCGTGTGGTGATCTATCAGCTGAATCTGACCTCCAGGTTGATGCTATCTGGCACGTGGGGCAAGGGAGCAGGAGGAATTCTCCGCCTTCCCAACGTGCTGTGGAGATGCAGGATGTATTTCAGCCTCCTCTCCTTTCTCTGGTGGCGCAGCAGTCTGCCGTGCCTCTGCAGTGGGTGCAATTGCTGCCTTTCCTGGTCGTAG